AACGACATGCTCAGTCTTAAATTTCCTGTTACCATGGGAACGACGGGACATTTCAAAATTGCCAAAAATCACTATTTTGCCATGATTTTTTCCATTAAAATTTATTTCAAAGGTTTTTCAGACTTGGTTACACGTTACCTTATGATCGACCTGGGGTCACTTTTAGCCTCACACAAGTCCAAAATCTTCTTGGCTATGAGGGGTACTACTGCACCCCCTTCAACCCCCCCCCCCCGAAACAGAAGGGGGTACATCCCCCTTCTGGCAACTCCCTGATGTATCTTTTGGATGGGCGCGGTGCCGAAAAAGTGCTCGCTTTTTTTAGTAACATTTCTAAAACGAAAACATTTGTTTGGGGCCCAAATAGGACCTTTTTTCACTATTTGAGGCCTTAAAGAGTGCATTGTTTCACGTATATATGAGGTAAAGGGTTAACAAACAAGAGCTGTCACAGGAGACAGCCAAGCTCGACTAATAAAATACTGGACGCAGTAAGGAGGACAAAACTATGAAAGAAAAACCAATTATGTATAATTATGTATTAAGTTATAGTAAAAAAATATCATTTGTTAACATTAATTCCAAGATCAAGGGGAATAATTCTAGAAAAAGTCATGCTAGAGTTATGAACCTTTCACACAACATGTGTGTAATGATAAGAAATATATATTTGAAGTTTGAAGTAGATACCTTAAAAAGTAAAGAAGTTATAATATTTCTTAAAGAAAATCCTTAGTTCAAAGAAAGATAAATCTGTAAATATTGCTTCAAGAGTTAAGAACATTGTCACATAAAATGTAATTGATGATAAGGAATAAGTATTTGAAGTTTGAGGTAGATACCTTTAAAACTAAAAAAGTTATAGTAAAAAATAACATTTTTCTAGTAAAAAAATCTAAGTTTATAGGGAGATAATTCTTGCAATATAAGTGCTAGAGTTATGAACCTTGCCACATAAGATGTGGATGATGATAAGTTACATATATTTGAAGTATGAAGTTGATCCCTTTAGAAATAAATAAGTAACAGTAAAAAATAGTATTTTTTAAGGAAAATTCTAAGTTCAAGGGGAGATAAATCTGAAATCTGAAAATATTTGTGCTAGAGTTATGAATCTTGTCACATAAGATGGGGATGATGATAAGGTACATATATTTGAAGTATGAGGTTGATCCCTTAAGAAATAAAGAAGTAACAGTAAAAAATAGTATTTTTTAAGGAAAATTCTAAGTTCAAGGAGTTATGAACCTTGTCACATAAGATGTGGTTGATAATAAGGAACAAATATTTGAAGTTTGAAGTTGATACTTTAAAAAATGACAAAGTTATAGTGAAAAATATTTTACTGCACTAAAACTTTAATCTGAAATCTGGACGCGGACGTGGACGCCGACGCCGGGGCGAGAAGGACAGCTCTCCATATACTTCGTATAGTCGAGCTAAAAATGATGAAAAACTTTGGAATTACCCAAAATCTAGTTTTTCAATGTTAACATGTGGTCTTTCACCTAATTTTGGTGAAAAATTGTTGTTTTGTAACATTTTTATTTCTTAAATTAACCCTGTCCCTCATGAGCATATTGTGAAAAATGGCCGTTTTCATTGAAAAGCCTCCCGTTACAACTTCAAACTGCTATGAAACTATGAAAAATGCTTCAATACTAATCAAACTTGGCACAAATGTTGACTGGACCATTGCCTTTGTAACGACATGCTCAGTCTTAAATTTCCTGTTACCATGGCATCGAGAGGACATCATAAAATTGCCAAAAATCACTATTTTGCCTTGACTTTTTCCATCAATATTTATTTCAAAGTGCTGCAACTTCTCAAGGGATTAAGATAGAGTCAAAGGCTTTTCAGACTTGGTTACATGTTACATTATGATCAACCTGGGGTCAATTTTAGCCTCTCACAAGTAAAATTTTTCTTGGCTATGAGGAGGACTACCGCCCCCCCCCCTTCAAACCCCCGAAACAGAAGAGACATATCCCCCTTCTGGCAACCCCCTGATGTATCTTTTGGATGGGGGCAGTGCCGAAAAAGTGCTCGCATTTTTAGCAACTTTTCTCAAATGAAAACATGTGTTTGGGGCCCAAATAGGACATATTTTGACTATTTGAGGCCTAAAAGAGGGGGGGGGGTCAAAAGTGCGTTGTTTCGCGTATATATGAGGTAAAGGGTTAACAACAAACAAGAGGGCCATGATGGCCCTAGATCGCTCACCTGAATTATCAAACTCATCTAAACAATTACCTAGACAAGCATTCTGACCAAGTCTCATGACAGGTGAGTCAAAAATGTGACCACTACAGTGTTAACAAGGATTATCCATATTTGAGCAGTGCGACCTAGTTTTTTACCCAGGTGACACATATTCAAACTTGACCTAGAAATCATCAAAACAAACTTTCAGACCAATTTCCAGGATACTTGGATCAAAACAGTAGCAACTAGAGTGTTAACAAGATTTTTTCTATTTTTAGCTCCGGTGACCTAGTTTCACATGCGATTTCGAACTCATCCAAGCAATTACCTAGACAAACATCCTGACCAAGTTTGATGATAATTGAGTCGAAAATGTGACCACTAGAATGTTAACAAGGTTTTTCCATATTTGGGCGGTGTGACCTAGTTTTTCATCCAAGATGACCCATGTTAGAACTTGACTTAGAAATCATCAAAACAAACTTTCAGACCAATTAACAGAATATTTGGATCACAACAGTAGCCACTAGAGTGTTAACAAGATTTTTTCTATTTTTAGCTCCTGTGACCTAGTTTTTCATCCGAAATGTCCCATGTTCGATTTATTCCCAGCAATGACCTAGACAAGTTTCCTGACCAAGTTTGATGACAATTGAGTCAAAATTGTGACCACTAGAGTGTTAACAAGGTTTTTCTATTTTTAGCTCCTGTGACCTAGTTTTTCATCCGAGATGACCCATGTTCGAACTCATCCGAGCTATCACCTAGACAAGCATCTTGATCAAGTTTGATGATGATTGATGCAAAAATGTGACCGCTAAAGTGTTAACAAGGTTTTTCTATTTTTAGCTCTGGTGACCTACTTTTTCATCCGAGATGACCCATGTTCGAACTCATCCAAGCTATCAACTAGATAAGCATCCTGACCAAGTTTGATGATGATTGATGCAAAAATGTGACCACTAGAGTGTTCACAAGGTTTTTTCTATTTATAGCTCCGGTGACCTAGTTTTTCATCCGAGATGACCCATATTCGAACTCATCCGAGCTATTATCTAAACAAGCATCCTGACAAAGTTTGATGATGATTGGGTCAAAAATGTGACCACTAGAGTGTTCACAAGGTTTTTCTATTTTTAGCTCCTGTGACCTAGTTTTTCATCAGAGATGACCCATGTTCGAACTCATCCAAGCAATTGACTAGACAAGCATTCTGACCAAGTTTGATGATGATTGGTTCAAAAATGTGACCACTAGAGTGTTCACAAGGTTTTTCTATTTATAGCTCCTGTGACCTACTTTTTCATCCGAGATGACCCATGTTCGAACTCATCCAAGCTATCACCTAGACAAACATCCTGACCAAGTTTGATGATGATTGGGTCAAAAATGTGACCTCTAGAGTGTTCACAAGGTTTTTCTATTTTTAGCTCTTGTGACCTAGTTTTTCATCCGAGATGACCCATGTTCGAACTCATCCGAGCTTTCAACTAGATAAGCATCCTGACCAAGTTTGATGATGATTGAGGCAAAAATGCGACCGCTAGAGTGTTCACAAGTAATTGTGGACGGCCGGACGGACGACGGACGACGGACGACGGACGACGGACATTCACCGATCCTAAAAGCTCACTGAGCAAGCTCAGGTGAGCTAAAAATGATGAAAAACTTTGGAATTACCCAAAATCTAGTTTTTCCATTTTAACATGTGGTCTTTCACCTAATTTTGGTGAAAAATTGTTGTTTTGTAACATTTTTATTTTTTTAGTTTACCCTTACCCACATGAGCATATTGTGAAAAATGGCCGTTTTCATTGAAAAGCCTCCTGTTACAAGTTCAAACTGCTATGAAACTATGAAAAATGCTTCAATACTAATCAAACTTAGCACAAATGTTGACTGGACCATTGCCTTTGTAACAACATGCTCAGTCTTGAATTTTCTCTTACCATGCCAACGAGGGGACATTTCAAAATTGCCAAAAATCACTATTCTGCCATGATTTTTTCCATCAAAATTTATTTCAAAGTGCTGCAAATTCTCAAGGGATTGAGGTAGAGTCAAAAGCTTTTCAGCGTTGGTTACACGTTACCTTATGATCGACCTGGGGTCATTTTTAGCCTCTCACAAGTCCAAAATCTTCTTGGCTATGAGGGGGACTACCGCCCCCTTCAAACCCCCCTGATGTATTTTTTGGATGGGTGCCGTGCCGAAAAAGTGCTCACTGTTTTTTAGTAACATTTCTCAAAAGAAAACATGTGTTTGGGGCCCATATAGGACATTTTTTCACTATTTGAGGTCTAAAAGAGGGGGGGGGGTCAAAAGTGCTATGTTTCGCGTTAATATGAGGTAAAGGGTTAAGATTATAAACATCCCCAAGGAGAAGATCGGATGCTTTCGGAATAATATTTGATATAACGATTTTTTGACATGTTATATGGCCCTATAAAAATGTTTGTTTGCCTAGCAGCTTTGGTTATATTTTCAAACAACCATTTATATAGGGCCATAAATAATGTGTCAAAACCCAAGTTGAGCTGAACCTAAACCTATGGTTAATATGGGTTCATATGTAACCAGTGGTGAGGTTCTTATTCGAGTTTCCACATTGGTGCCATTTATGGTTACCACTTTTAGGAAGCTGACATCTGGAATGACTTAAACTCACTGTGTAAATCAGTTGGTGTTTAATATATAAATTAAGTACAAGAATTACAATGTTTATCAAGAAAAGAAAGAAAGAAAGAAAGAAAGAAAGAAAGAAAGAAAATTAAAAAGAAAGTAACACTTACATCGTCTGTGTTTGCCTTGACCATTTTACTGACATAAATGTTAGGTACACCTTCCATTTCGATTGTTATGTTGACACCTATATCACGGACGCCACTTTCTTCATCATACGCTTCTAGGTAAACACTAAGTTAAATAGAGGTACACACTAAGTTAAATAGAGGAACACACTAAGTTAAATATAGGAACACGCTAAGTTAAATATAGGAACATGCTAAGTTAAATAGAGGAACACACTAAGTTAAATAAAAGGAACACACTAAGTTAAATATAGGAACACCCTCAGTTAAATATAGGAAAACGCTAAGTTTAATATAGAAATACGCTACGCTTGATATAGGAACACGTTAAATTAAATATAGGAACACATTAAGTTAAATATAGGAACACGCAATGTGTTTGTATATTTAACATGCTAAGTTAAATATACAAACACAAGTTTACAAAAGTTAAACATAGGAGCCCTCTTAGTTAAAGAACACATTTAGTTAAATATCGGAACTCACTAAGTTAAAATTTAGGAACATGTTTAGTTAAATATAGAAACACCCCAAGTTAAAAAAGGAACATCCTAAGTTAAAGAACACATTAAGTTAAATATAGGAACGAGCTAAGTTAAATATAGGAAACTTATCTTTTTTCATATCATGTGTGCATGACTATATGAAGAAAACTTAAATAAAAATAAAATAATGCAATACTTTAAAAAATATTAGTTGAAAAAATTATATTTCTTGTTACTATTAGTTTACACAAATTCATTTAATTTCTTTTTTATTTTTATAGTTTGTTTGTTTGTTTGATTGGGTTTTACGTCACACCGACACAGTATATGTCATATGACAAAGTTCCAGCTTTACATGTGGAGGAAGACCTCAGGTGCCCTTCAGTGCATTATTTCAGGCACGAATGGGCACCTGTGTAGAACCACCGATGTTCTGTAAGCTAGCTGGATAGCTTCCTCACATATGAAAGAATCCAAAGTCCCTGTAGGGATTCGAGCCCACAGAGGTGAGGGGCAAGTGGTTTGAAGTCAGTGACCTTTTTATGGTACAGTGATGAAAAACTATTATAAAGTATATAAATACCCGCCGATATAAAATCATTGTCAACACCTGTCGGGGTAAGTAAAGGACCCAGAGAAGCTTTAGGACCTGGTGTTGCCTAGTAAGCACACAGGCATAACCAGGTCCAGGGTTTATACATGTTCGAAAATTACACATTTGCATTAAAATCTTAGTCAATTTTATCATACTCGTCGCGTAAGTTTGGCCCTGTTGTACGGATTTAAACAAATTACATAAATACCTGCTTGAAAAGTTAAAGGGTTTGACGTTAGTATTTTGCACAATGTATGTGGTAGTGTTATCGTCAGCACTTGAAGTAATGGGTTTAGTAAAGTCTGTAGTCACGATGGTCGAGTCCATCTTTGTGTTGCCAAGGACATCATGTGCTCGAACCCATATCTTTAACTGGTCGCCTGAAGAATATATTCATACAAAACTACATAAAGACCGACTTGAAATAGTTATTTCTCTGACTTTGTGTATTAATCTCTTTTCGTGATATGTGATCAATGTTAAATACGACACGAAAAACATGATTAAAAAAAACAAGATTAAAAACAAACAAAAATCAAAATCAAAGAAAAACGTAGCAATAACGCAGACTAAACACAGTTATTTTTAACCTACAAGAATTTCAAATAATTTTTTAATAAACACACGTGCTAAGAATTTCTATAAAGTAAAATTCATAAACTGAATCACTGCTTTATTTAATAGTTTAGTTTGTTGTTGAAACAGAAATCGTGTACATCATGTCACTGTTAGCTTACCCAACAATGAAAAATAATTAATGTATTTGATTGTTGAACTCTGACCTCTAACTGTGACCTTGACATTTTTTTAATACATATTATCAAGGCTATAGAAAGGACGCGGCAAATATACATAAAATCAAAACCATTGGTGTCACAGGAGCTCAGATGGCAAATATTTTCAGATCATGTGACCAATTTTAAAAATGTTTCGTCTACATCTAGATAAATTTTCCTATTACCCTAGTGTATGGCATCAAAGAATACAATATCAATTAATCACGATCAGTTCTTAAAATTGACAAATATACCATAAAATTTGACAGATTTTTATAAAAACAAATTTTGATAAATTCGAATTTATTTTCTTAAGAGACAACACTGTTGGATAATATGAAAAGGCTGGTACTTTTATGGTTGGTGAGATGAAAAATATAACGATGCAGTTGGTTTCCCATTCACTCTGTTATCTTAATTGCAAAATAAATCTTAGAATGACCTAACATAATTATATTCAAATTAATCGTGAATCGGAAACATTATATGAATTTATCATTACCGCTCCTCATCCGCTCTTTTATTGTGGTCGTTTCCCTGATTGGCTCAACTTTTGTCCAGTCTGCTCCGTGTATTTGTGAAGCAATGTCCCTGGTATACTGGTATTCAAATTTGACAATACCATGAATGTTTGTGATAGGAGCAAGAGTTCTCTCCCCTTCCATGTCATCGAGTGATGCATTTACAAATCTATAAATATGATATCATCAAGTGATGCATTTACAAACCTATAAATATGATGTCAACGAGTGATGCATTTACAAACCTATAAATATGATGTCAACGAGTGATGCATTTACAAACCTATAAATATGATGTCATCGAGTGATGCATTTACAAACCTATAAATATGATGTCATCGAGTGATGCATTTACAAACCTATAAATATGATAATATCGAGTGATCCATTTACAAACCTATAAATATGATGTCATCGAGTGATGCATTTACAAACCTATAAATATGATGTCAACGAGTGATGCATTTACAAACCTATAAATATGATGTCAACGAGTGATGCATTTACAAACCTATTAATATGATGTCATCGAGTGATGCATTTACAAACCTATGAATATGATAATATCGAGTGATCCATTTACAAACCTATTAATAGGATGTCATCTAGTGATGCATTTACAAACCTGTAAATAGGATGTCATCGAGTGATGCATTTACAAACCTATAAATATGATATCATCGAGTGATGCATTTACAAACCTGTAAATAGGATGTCATCGAGTGATGCATTTACAAACCTATAAATATGATGTCATCGAGTGATGCATTTACAAACCTATAAATATGATAATATCGAGTGATCCATTTACAAACCTATAAATAGGATGTCATCGAGTGATGCATTTACAAACCTATAAATATGATAATATCGAGTGATCCATTTACAAACCTATAAATAGGATATCATCAAGTAATGCATTTACAAACCTATAAATATGATAATATCGAGTGATGCATTTACAAATCTATAAATATGATATTTTCGAGTGATGCATTTACAAACCTATAAATATGATGTCATCGAGTGATGCATTTACAAACCTATAAATATGATAATATCGAGTGATGCATTTACAAACCTATAAATATGATGTCAACGAGTGATGCATTTACAAACCTATATATATGATGTCAACGAGTGATGCATTTACAAACCTATGAATATGATAATATCGAGTGATCCATTTACAAACCTATTAATAGGATGTCATCTAGTGATGCATTTACAAACCTGTAAATAGGATGTCATCGAGTGATGCATTTACAAACCTATAAATATGATATCATCGAGTGATGTATTTACAAATCTATAAATATGATATCATGTAGTGATGTATTTACAAACCTATAAATATGATATCATCGAGTGATGCATTTACAAACCTATAAATATGATATCATACAGTGATGCATTTACAAACCTATCAATATGATATCATCAAGTGATGTATTTACAAACCTATAAATAATATATCATCAAGTGATGCATTTACAAACCTATCAATATAATAACATCGAGTGATGCATTTATAAACCTATAAATATGATCTCATTGAGGGATGCATTTACAAACCTCTCAATATGATGCCATTGAGTGATGCATTTACAAACCTATAAATATGATGTCATTGAGGATTGCATTTACAAACCTATAAATATGATATCATCTAGTGATGTATTTACAAACAAATAAATATAATATCATAGACTTATGCATTTACAAACCTATAAATATGAAATCATCGATTAATGCATTTACAAACCTATAAATAGGATAACATTGAGTGATGCATTTACAAACCTATCAATATGATATCATGGAGTGATGCATTTACAAACCTATAAATATGATGTCATCTAGTAATGCATTTACAAACCTTTAAATATGATGTCATCGAGTGATGCATTTACAAACCTTTAAATATGATGTCATCGAGTGATGCATTTACAAACCTATAAATATGATGCCATAGAGTGAGGCATTTACAAACCTAATAAATATGAGGTCATCGAGTGATGCATTTACAAACCTTTAAATATGATGTCATCGAGTAATGCATTTACAAACCTATAAATATGATGCCATAGAGTGAGGCATTTACAAACATAATAAATATGATGTCATCGAGTGATGCATTTTAAAACCTTTAAATATGATGTCATCGAGTGATGTATTTACAAACCTATAAATATGATATCATCAAGTGATGCATTTACAAACCTATAAATATGATGTCATCGAGTGATGCATTTACAAACATATAAATATGATATCATCAAGTGATGCATTTACAAACCTATAAATATGATGTCATCGAGTGAAGCATTTACAAACCTATAAATATGATAACATCGATTGATGCATTTACAAACCTATACATATGATAATATCAAGTGATGCATTTACAAACCTATAAATATGATATAAAAGTTCATTATGTACTTGTTACTCATCCTTACAGACATACTAAAGAATAATTCATGTCTGGCGGAGATTACTTCCCTTTTGATATTGAGAACCAAAATACAGTCCCCTTTACAATCAAATAATGTAGAAAAAGTAACTTGTAGATGAGACCAACTGCATGTAAATTTGCTGACTACCTTAATCAAACTTTCACTACCTCTATCAATTGTTGACTACCTTTAACACTAATTGACTACATCCATACACATTGACTACCTTAACCACTCATTGTCTACATTAATCACTCGTTGACTAACTCAATCACACTTTGACTGCCTTAATCACTTGTTGACTACCTTAACCATTTATTGACTACCTTTACCACTTGTTGACTACCTTTACCACTTGTTGACTACCTTAACCACTTGTTGACTACCTTTACCACTTGTTGACTACCTTAACCACTTGTTGACTACCTTTACCACTTGTTGACTACCTTTACCACTTGTTGACTACCTTTACCACTTGTTGACTACCTTTACCACTTGTTGACTACATTAACCACTTGTTGACTACCTTAACCTCTTAATGACTATATTTATCATACGTTGACTATCTTAATCACATGCGGACGACCTTAATCCCTTGTTGACTACCTTTACCACTTGTTGACTACCTTTACCACTTGTTGACTACCTTTATCATACGTTGACTACCTTAATAATACGTTAACTATCTTAATCACATGCAGACAACCTTCATCACTTGTTGACTACCTTAATCACATACTGACAACCTTAATCACTCGTTGACTACCTTAATCAGTCGTTACACCAATACCATTCGTTTATGGAGGACAAGAAATCGATATCATAATAAGGCACACCTTTATAAACCATATAAATGTTAAACACTGACTTACTTTCTCGTGTAAAGAATACCATCATCTTCTAAATCTTCAAATTGTGGTTTAAACGTCTGTATTTCATTGTTGTAGTGACCTTCCTCGTGAGCTTTGTTCATGAAATATCCTGTCCAGTTGACTACAATGTCTGTAACTTGTCCTGAAAAAAATATTGGAAAAATGGGGAGGAATGGCTGTGGGAGGTGGGAGGAATGGCTGTCAAATATTAGTTCCAAACGGTTTTGAAACAAACAACTTTCAAAATGTAGAAAAAAGTGTCATTGTTGTTTTTGTCATAAAACTATATATTTAAGATCATGAAAAATTTTAAGAAATTCTGTTTTACAGTTTTCATTTGGCCTTTGTGGTAGCTCGATATGTAACTGTAGCATACAACCTTAAATATTGTTATGTCTAAATAAAATAAAGAGGTTTGCTATTTACATGATTTAAAGTATAATGTTTTCTTTATAAAGTATGGCAGAATGACAAGATTGTTAACTGCTCAACATTTTGTCCGAATTAGTGAAAATTAGAGACAAATATTTTTTACTCTGGTGAAAATATACAAGTTTACATTTAATTACATCCTCCTTGGTGAGATATAATCCATATCTAACTACATATAAACAGATATCACTACCTTCACTTCCTGCAGACTGCCATTTGAAGCCTGTGTGGTTTTGAGCAGACGACACGTGCAATCCGTTTGGACTTTCCTTATTCAACTCTACTTCTGACTCTTTGTCATACAGGACAAACCGTCGAGCTATCCGTGAATTGTTGGCAATATCCCTTACTTCCAATAAGATACTGAAAATATTTCGTTTTGATAATTAATGACGAATACAAAAGGCAAACCCCTCCATTTTTATAGATTTGCATCTCTGGCGTGAGTTCGATCCGCAGGAGATGCTTTGGTAGTTTAGCTCGGAGGAAGGTAGTCTAGTACTGGTGTAACTCTCCAGGATTGAGGAACGATGGTGAGGAAACTACCCGCCTATATGACAGAAATACTGTTGGGAAAAAGCGTAAAATGAAACAAACAAACAAAACAAACAATGAGACCTATAACTATCTAATGCACAATAGACAGTTATTTATTTGTTGTTGTCAGGGTGGTTCATGTCCTCGAAAAGACGTCATTAATGGTTTCAAAATATCGCAGCAAGTAATACCACTGTTAAGCCGCAGCTTTTTGCAGACATTTCCTGGCATAAAAAGTCGAGACTTAAATTCAAATACTTGACTGTTGACAAGGTATGCATTAGAAAAAAAAAATATCGCAGATTATTATGGCTGCAATCGGCTGCCTAAAGTAGGCATATTTGTTTGCGTGGCTTAGTCTACTATGTACACAGAAAATGTTGCGGTAAAACTCCACTTTTTACGACAGAAGTGTGACAGAAAAACTCTTCTAGTTTCTTTTAAGTCGCGTCATTTTATACAATTTTGACATAAAATCTCACGGATTTAAAAGTTGCCGGCATTATTTTATAAACTGACAATCAAATTTCTTGCAGCATTAAAATGAACGCTACCGGCCACCGGAATATGGGGACGCTACCGGCCACCGGAATATGGGGGCGCTACCGGCCACCGGAATATGGGGACGCTACTGGCCACCGAAATATGGGGATTTTTTTACGTAAAACAAAAACGTGATTTCTATATGGTTAACTGTGTTCGGTGGTGAAATTATATATACGTACCTATACATTCCTGGTTCCAGAGGAGTAAACGTCTGGTAGTGTGACATATTACCCATGTGTAACGTTTGATTTCTGGCCATAGGTTTGATGGGGTTCCGTTCAGTGAGTTGTAGTGTAGCATCTTTTACAACAAGTTTGTGAAGCTCCAGATAGTACATCCACATTTGTGAACCATACTTGTCGTCTGTCCAGCCTTTCCAGCGTACTGTGATTGGTTCCTTTATAGATACAACTTTCAATTAAAGATCAATCACGTTGAATTATATCTTGATAAGATATTTTATTGTACAGGAAACAAGCGTTTTATGCTCGACAATAGTGTTATATGAAATATAAAAGTTATATGTCAGAAAAGGTTATATTACATTTAAAGGGCGTAACATGTCCAGAACGGGTATTATATGTAGGAAACGAAAGTAATATGTAGAAAATGAGTATTATCACATAAACCGCGGCGCAGGAGTGTAATAAAGCCATTTAATAAAAACGATATTACACTAGTGTAATAACACTTTGACGTGACGTCATTTGCGCTATATAAAAACATAGCGTAAAACCGCGCTAATGTTAGCGTTACACTATAGGCGCGTCATTGAAAAAATACTCATTTTTACAGTTTACTGTTCTTATTTTATACATGTGATAAATAGAATATTATATCCGTGTAGATTCAATACTAAATTTATTGAACTCGTTGAATAAAACAATATTATGCTCGCCAGAGGCTCGCATAATATGATTTTATTCAACTCGTTCAATAAATTTAGTATTTAACTCACAGGCAGGCCACATCAACTTTGTGAGACCGGGTAAAACTGCGAAGACAGAAGCTTCACAGAAGAAATCGATCCTTGACGGCGCCACAGGATGGAATATGTCAGTCGATCTAGGAAAGAAGCTTGTGTTCCTGGGTATCGTCCAGACCAACTTGAGACCAGACATTGTACTGTGGTCCGAGACAGGGAAGAAGCTCGTTGTCATCGAGTTGACAGTACCTTGGGATACGAGATGTGAAGAGGCCTATGAGAGGAAGAAGGCCAAGTACACTGAACTACTTGAGCAGTGCCGACACCGAGGTTGGCGGACATGGCTATTCCCCATCGAAGTAGGCGCTAGAGGGTTCTGTGCGCAATCTGTATGTAGAATGATGACAGCTGTTGGCACCACTGGCAGAGACAGGCGCCGGGCAACCCAGAAGCTGAGCCAGGCTGCAGAGCTGGCGTCTAGCATGGCTGTGGCTACGACGCGAGGAGACAAGCTGGATGCGATCAACCTCCACACCGTAAGACGGTGGGCCCACCCGCCATTACAGATGTACTTGGATAAGAGCCGAAACATCTGGCGGGGCACCAAGCTGACGATGGAGGAAGATCCGCAGTCGAGAACCAGACCTCAGAAAAGGTGCGTTTAAGACTGTATTATCCCACATTGATCATCTGGTTTACCATGTGACTTCTAGGAAAGACTGGATGGCAACCAGGAATAGATTGGTGACACTTGAGAGACAGTTGACCCAGGAACAGACTGGAACCGGGGCACTAGGGGTAGCATCCCGACGTGCAGCCTTCGTGAGAAGACACCCACAGACAAGCTACAGACTCCACTAATGAAAGACACCCCCAGAGTCTTCCGAGACGGGGGAGGATGAAAGACTCACATGGACGGATTTTATGGAATCGACACGGCCTGCCCAATCGACTACGGACTCAGCACCAGGGACAGTAACTTGCCCTTGTGGCAAAGTCTGCAAAAACCAACGAGGGTTACGCATTCACCAGGGGAAGTCTGGTTGCCAGCGCGTGAGGCCACTTGAGCAGCGCATAGCCAGTATGGCTAGTGAGACGCGGGAGTACTCCAGTCAGGAGACTACCCACAGTACTGATGAACTCTCCGCTCAAGAGACAGCGCACGATGCCACCCAGGATCCAATGATGGATGAAGACGACCCCCTCCTAGAGCTACTGAATAAATCGCAGGACACTAGCAGCCAACCACAGGAGCAAGAGGCCGTCCCTGACCGACCACGCCCAATGCCTATCACAAGAACACCCAAGATCAAGTGGCCCAAGGCATCTGAGAAGGCACCATGGAAACAGTTTGACGAGGACCTAGACATTTCATCCTCGAATTATCCATGCAAGGTCCAGTACAACCGGAAGTTACACACCCTTTCCACCCTTGTATACTCTGTTGCAAGGAGAGGTTTGGAATTGAAGAAACAAAGAAACGCAATGGAGGCTCAAAAGCCGAACCGGAGGCAACACCGCATAGAGAACCTGAGGAAAGAAATCAGACAGCTGAAGAAGCAGTACCGAGACAGCTCACCAGTGCAGCGCCTTGGCCTGTCCCAACTACGTGACACACTGCGCACACAGTTGAAGTCTCTGCGGCGAGCTGAGAACACGAGGAGAAAAGCGAGGGAGCGAACAAGAGAGCTGCGTTCACAGCCAACCCATTCAAATTTGCGAAAGACTCTGCTTGACAAAAAGCGTTTTCAGGAACATTAGAGACCCCACTTGAAGAGATTGAGAAGTACCTGCATGATACGCATTCAGATGTCAACAGAGAAGACGCCCTAGGGGACTGTGACCGGATAGATCCTGCCTTACCTCCAGAGACGCCACTGGTAACCACTGAAACCCACTGTGGAGAGGTTAAGGACGTCGTCAAGAAGGCTCGATGGGCTCTAATCCTGGTCCTAACGCCATCCCGTACAAAGTGTACAAGATGTGCCCACTCCTACTGAAGAGGGCTATGGAGACTCCTCAAGGTGGTGTGGAGGAAAGGGGAAGTACCAGAAGCCTGGAAGGAAGCAGAGGGAATATTCACGCCCAAGGAAAGGAACTCCAAGACAGTCAATCAGTTCCAGACCATCTTGCTACAAAATGTCGAGGGGAAGATATTCTTCGCTATCCTGGCCAGAAGACTTACCTCTTTCCTGACGACCAATGCGTACATCGACACTTCAGTCCAGAAGGGTGGAGTACCTGGTTTTCTCCGGTTGTGTAGAGCACACCAGCGCCATCACCCAACTAATTCAAGAGGCGAAGACGGGGAAGAAAGACTTGACAGTAGTTTGGCTCGATCTTGCCAACGCATACGGATCTATTCCCCATCAGCTGATCTACACAGCCCTCCAGCACTACCACGTCGACAACCATCCCCAGAAAATCATCACCAGTTATCTTGACGGCAATCAAGCTTCGGTTTTCTGTTGGCGACCAGCTGACGAAGTGGCAGAAGTTGGAGAAAGGTATAGTCACCGGATGTACTGTTTCTGTGGTACTCTTCGTCATGGGGATGAATCTGCTCATCAATGCTGCCATTAGAGAGACCCGCAGACCAAAGACAGAGTCAGGTATCTACCTCCCATCAAGCCGAGGTGTTATGGATGACCTCACGTTGACGACACCAACACACGTCCAGGCTAGATGGATGTTGACAGCACTGACCAAACGTCGCGTCATGGGCCCGCATGAAATTCAAGGGCCGTATAGTCCAGGTCCTTCATTATCAAGAAAGGCAAGACGACAGACAGATTCTAGCTCCGAGTTACAGAACGAGGAGATCCCATCCATCAACGAAAGAACCCAATCAAGTGGCCTTGGGAAGTGGTTTTTTGATGCCAAGCCTAGTAGACAAGGACAACGTCAAGAAGCTAGAGAACCAGGTAGAAGACGGGCTGAAGAAGATAGACCGGAGCAACCTACCTGGGAAGTTCAAGCTTGGCTGTACCAGCATGCCTTTATTACCATAAGGCTGAATCTGGCCAATGATGCTGTTACGAGGTAACCCAGGCTCAAACAATAGAAGCCTTAGAGAGAATCACCAGCCGACATCTTCGCAAGTGGCTTGGAATCCCACCAGTTTCTCCAGTGTTGGACTGTATGGGGAAAAACCAACAACTTGCAACTCCCACTATCTTCACTGGTAGAAGAATTCAAGACGGCGAAGACAAAGACTGGTGCTTACCCTAAGAGACTCCCCAGATGAGCAGATCCCGGGAAGCAGGGATCGTTACCCATTTACTGGAAGAAAGTGGTTAGCGACAGAGACTGTCAGCCAGGCGGAGAGCTCTCTCATGCAACAAGGAAACATCGTCGGTGTAACGGCTGTCGGACGACAAGGTATTGGTGCAACCAAAACACTCCTATGGAGCCAAGCCAACCAGACTGAGAGGCGAGCCCTGATACAGTCAGAAGTATGGAAGGAAGAGGAGAACAAGAGACAGGCCAGAGCGGTAGAGATGGGTGCGCAGGGTGCATGGACCAACGTGGGAAAACCATTGGAAAAGGAAGCTGACCCCTGGGAGGACATCTGGAAGTATTGAACCACTTCGTCTATCCTTCCTCCTCAGGTCAGTTCATGACCTCCTGCCATCTCCAGCTAACCTCTGTCGATGGGGACTAATCCACAGACCCAACATGCAGTCTGTGCAAGAAACCAGGCACTCTAGAACATGTTTTATCTTCCTGCTCCAATGCACTGACGCAGGGGCATATATCGCTGGCGACACGACAACGTCCTCAGAGAGGTTGCCGATTGGCTGGAATGGGGAGAAGAAGAAGCCACGCAGAAGTAACTCACAGGCAGGCCACATCATCTTTGTGAGAACCGGGTGAAACTGCGAAGACAGAAGCAACCAACTTGAGACCAGACATTGTACTGTGGTCCGAGACAGGGAAGAAGCTCGTTGTCATCGAGTTGACAGTACCTTGGGAGACGAGATGTGAAGAAAGGCCTATGAGAGGAAGAAGGCCAAGTACACTGAACTACTTGAGCAGTGCCGACACCGAGGTTTGGCGGACTTGGCTATTTCCCCATCAAAGAAGGCGCTAGAGGGTTTCTGTGCGCAATCTGTATGTAGGACTGATGACAGCTGTTGGCACCACTGGCAGAGACAGGCGCCGGGCAATCCAGAAGCTGAGCCAGGCTGCAGAGCGGGCGTCTAGCTGGCTGTGGCTACGACGCGAGGAGACAAGCTGGATGCGATCAAACCTCCACACCGTAAGACGGTGGGCGCCCACCGCCATTACAGATGTACTTTGGATAAGGGCCAAAAACATCTGGCGGGCACCAAGCTGACGATAGAGAAGGTCCGCAGTCGAGAACCAGACCTCAGAAAGGTGCGTTTAAGACTGTATTATCCACACCACACTCATTCAATATCCTCTATTTATATGATGGACACGAGTGTATTCTGATGAACACGAATGTAATATGATGGAAACAAGTGAAATATGATTGACACGAGTGCAATATGATGGACACAAGTGTAATGTTATAGACACAAGTGCAATATGATGGTCATGAGTGTGATATGATGGACAGAAGTGTAATATGATGGAAACGAGTGTATTATGATGGACAAAAGTATAATATGATGGACATGAGTGTAATATGATGGACACAAGTGTAATATGATGGACATGAGTGTAATATGATGGACACAAGTGTAATATGATGGGAACCAGTGTATTATGATGGACACGAGTTACATCTAACATGAAATTGTTCAATGTAGAAATCTAGACAAAAAAGTTTTACCTAGGAGACAAAAATATGTTATATGTAGGAAATAAGTGTTATATCTTGGGTAAGAGTTTAATACATAGGAAACGCTATATGTAGGAAACGAGTGTTATATGTAGGAAACAAGGTGCAATATGTAAGAAATGAATTTCATATGTTGGACAAGAGTGTAATATATAGGAATCAAGGTGCTATATGTAGGAAACAAGGTGCTATATGTAGGAAATGAGGTGCTATATGTAGGAAACAAGGTACTATATGTGAAAACAAGGTGATATATGTAGGAAATGAGGTGCTATATGTAGGAAACAAGGTGCTATATGTAGGAAACAAGGTGCTATATGTAGGAAATGAGGTGCTATATGTAGGAAACGAGGTGCTATATGTAGAAAACAAGGTGCTATATGTAGGAAACGAGGTGCTTATATGTAGAAAACAAAGGTGCTATATGTAGGAAATGAGGTGCTATATGTAGGAAACAAGGTGATATATGTAGGAAATGAGGTGCTATATGTAGGCAATGAGGTGCTATATGTAGGAAACGAGGTGCTATATGTAGGAAACGAGGTACTATATGTAGGAAACAAAGTGCTATATGTAGGAAACGAGGTGCTATATGTAGGAAACAAGGTGCTATATGTAGGAAACAAGGTGCTATATGTAGGAAACAAGGTGCTATATGTAGAAAATGAATTTTATATGTTGGGCAAAAGTATAATATATAGGAATCAAGGTGCTATATGTAGGAAACAAGGTGCTATATGTAGGAAATGAGGTGCTATATGTAGGCAACGAGGTGCTATATGTAGAAACGAGGTGCTATATGTAGGAAAAAAGGTGCTATATGTGTAGGAAACGAGGTGCTTCATGTAGGAAACGAGGTGCTATATGTAGGAAACAAGGTGCTATATGTGGAAACGAGGTGCTATATGTGGAAACAAGGTGCTATATGTAGGTAACAAGGTGCTATATGTAGGAAACGAGGTGCTACATGTATATGTAGGAAACAAGGTGATATATGTAGGAAACAAGGTGCTTTATGTAGGAAATGAGGTGCTATATGTAGAAAACGAGGTGCTAAATTTAGGAAACGAGGTGCTATATGTAGGCAACAAGATGATATATGTAGGAAACGATGTGCTATATGTATGAAACAAGGTGATATATGTAGGAAACAAGGTGCTTTATGTAGGAAATGAGGTGTTTTATGTAGGAAATGAGGTGATATATGTAGGAAACAAGGTGCTATATGTAGGAAACAAGGTGCTATATGTAGAATGTAGGTGCTTTACATTGGAAACTTGTTTTGGATGAAGTTTGGTCTTGAAGATCAAAGGATGATGTTTACGGTGCACAATATTAATTTGCCATGCATATCAGCTGAACGTCTGTGAATTCTGGTGAACAGACAAACCATTAGTACTAATTAATACATGTAGAAAAAATTCTAATCGAACAAAGTTATTGTTACGAAATGCCTAAAAACCTTACTTTAGTAAATTCTTTAGGGACATGCAACATTGTTGAATTGTCACAGTTAGTGGCAGTATATCCGCTAATATCATCTTCAGTGCAGTGTTTCGGTGCTTGGAAATCAAATTTGAAATAGACCTACAAAAGCAAAAAAACAATTATGATATGTATTGTTGGAAAGTCATAAATTGTGTCATATGTTATTGCATTTGATACGAGTTTGTGTGTGTATGCAGACGTAAAACAATTTTGCAGCGTCAACTCTTCACAATATATACATTTAATGTTAAGATGACATCATTTAACCGCAAATAGCAACCAATCACAAATAAATAACACTAATGGTAAATTCCAAGGCGTTCGACACATGTGTCAATCGAATAATGGTCAAATAATCATAAAATCATCTCCCCTTGATTGTCAAGAACAAAATTACTATCCAGCACCTGTTTACCATATATTATACCTGTATATACTAAACAGGTGCTGGCTTGATGATCAAGGGGAGACTTTTTAATGATAATTTTACCATTGTTGGCAAGGCAGATGAGGCGAAAGCCAGTGGGTAAATTACAAATGCTTGACGACCCATTTGGAGATGGCATTGGTTTACTAATTATTGGAACTTATCGGACATTTCTGTCTTACTCCGTATAATGTCTACGCACTTTAATCGGCGAGGTATCCCAAAGAACATTGTCGTGAACTCTCTAGAGCTGAGCAGACATCAAAATCGCAAAGCTATCTTTCCCAACTAGCATGAAATGTTCACTCTGACTATGAAAAAATCTGGCAACTTCTCACTAATGTTTCTAAAGATAATGCCCTCAATTTCTTGCTTCATGAAAATTAAAAATAATTATTATATTAGTTTAGAATTCAACAAGTTTTACAATATTTCAAGTTCCTAATACTTTTTATTTATGAAAGTACATGTTGTTTCAACAAATCAAAGCTAGATATTTGCATTTAAGGGTATTCTCCTATCACAGATGGGGAGGGTTTAAGAATAAAGTTGGATACATATATAGATAGATTACTTTTTTACTACTAGTCTGTCCTATGAATTTGTCTTCGGGTCGCAGATTGTCCTGATATCTCATCTGTCGATAACCTCCATTCCTAGCTTCAAAAGTCACTTTTAACCTAAAAATAAGACAAAAATAATTAAAATAGATAAATTTCGCTTTACTGGAGTGATTATTGCTAAAAAAATTTAAAGTACATGCATTGTTATATAAAAATGGCATTTTATCAGTTATAAGCCATTTAAAAGATGACTTTCTTGACCAAATGTACGATGAAATGTGCTATCCAAATCATATGGTAAATTAATAAATAATTGGAAAGGCTGGGCTTGTGTCAACTCTTTAATATTCTGAGTTGTGTAGTTTTGACGTGTGTCTGCCTTTCTAAGCCCAAATGATACGATCCTTAATAAAATGCTTAATGAATATCAAATTGAAAGTAAGACAAAGTGTGTCGGATCATAATATGCTGAACATAAAAATAATCTCTACAGATTCTTCAGAATGTTGCATTCTTACTATGGAATATTAACAATATAATTTTCATATTCTACTCACGTGTCTGCATGTTCTATCAGAGTTTTGAATTCTGCATTCTTTATTGTACAATTAAACAATTGTTGTGGATTTGCCGGATTAGATGAAGGACAGTCGATGTCGTACTTTTGTGTAGTATGCTCAACTGTAGTGTTAATAAATAAATAAATGAGCCGCGTCATGACAAAACCAACATAGTGGGTTTGCGACCAGCATGGATCCAGACCAGCCTGCGCCTCTGTGCAGTCTGATCAGGATCCATGCTGTTCGCTATCAGTTTCTCTACTTGTAATAAGGTTTGTAAGCGAACAGCATGGATCCTGATCAGACTGCGCATCCGGGCAGGCTAGTCTGGATCCATGCTGGTCGCAAACGCACAATGTTGGTTTTGTCATGACGCGGCTCAAATAAACAGCTACGTGTGACACATGATAAAAAAGATTTCTACTTTATAAAAAAAAAGTTATTTCAAGATAAATATCTTAAGTGTGTCAGGTTATATATGGTACAATAAAGTTACGTAAGATTAAACAAATTTATATGCATAACATAGGTTTGTTTTAATTAAGTGATATGGCATAATATGATGCGTAACAATACGATACGGTATGATACAATACGGTAATGATATAATACGATATGATATGGTATGATATGAAACAGTATGATACGATACTGTATGATGCGATATGATACAGGATGATGCGATATGATATGATAGGGTATGATTGGATAAGGTACAATGTGATACAATATGGTATGATGCAATACAGTATGGTATGATGAGATACAATACGGTATGATGAGATACAATACGGTATGATGCGATACAACACGGTATGATGCGATACAATACGGTATGATGCGATACAATACGGTATGATGCGATACAATACGGTTTGATGTGATACAATACAGTATGATGAGATAGGTATAGAGTGATACGGTATGATGCGATATGCTACTGTATGATATTAGTTTCGCCTTGGTGCAGAATAGACCCAATCTGTTTGAGTCTAAAAAATAGTTTGTGCCCCATTTAAAGTCATCCCTAGTTTGACTGGTCATATTTTAAGTGTATATATTGTATCTGTGTATTTTGTGTGTGAAATCTGGTGACTTTAAATGTTGTTTTGTGTGTATTCTTCAGGACCTCATTCCTGGGCGGAAGGATTTAATATGTTTGAGCATCAGCAGACAGGACAATATCAAGGGTGACCCAATGAAAATTGAAATTTTATAAAGCATCTACATACCCATTTTCTAGTGTAACTATCCTTGGATAGTGTTGATATTTAAAGTTGTAGACCAGGAATTTCGAATTAAAAAATTAAACATCAACACTGCGGATGATCTCGTGACCGAAATCGAACAATGGGCTCGTACAATGGGCTCATAAAATGGCAGCTTAAACGTTCGGTAAAAGCAGTGAAATTGAGGGAAGCATACAGTTAACGTTAAATTTATATGTAAAACTAGGCCGCACGGAACCTTTATATTATATTATATTATATAACAATATATTTTATATAAATTTAACGTTAACTGTATGCTTACCCTTATTTCACTGCTTTTACCGAGAGTTTAAGCCGCCATTTTATGAGCCCATTGTACGAGCCCATTGTACGAGCCCATTGTACGATTTCAGTCACGTGATCATCCGCAGTGTCAAAGGTGACTGATTAACTATAGAATAATGAGAGCAAGAATTGAGTGGGTTGAAACCGTTATGACACAGTATGATTTGATACGTCATGGTACGATACGGAAATGTATGGTGCTATAGGTACTGGTGATATGATATGATATGATATAGTGAAAACCACCATACAAACACATTTAATCCTAGAAGTGTAGCCAAGTTTGAATAATGATTTGAGTAATATGCGAGGTTTGTTGAAAACCTTGTTCAAGTCTGTTATTTCCTTTTTAGATGTGTAAAGCGCAATATATCCTGTACGAAATTTTGGTCGCCCCCCCCCCCCTATCCGGAAGGAATGTGATGTATATTTGGTAGGGTCTAAATGGCAATGTTCTACACAAAGCTTTAATAGCCGCCTGAAATAACTAGCTGTGACTGTTTTCCCACAACTAAATTGAAAAAGAGGACCTGACTTGTGGGTCGTAACAGAGCAGTATTTACTCAAAACTCTAACCGGACAGAGTGAACGATTTTTAGCTCTGCTGAGGATGATGGTGGATGTTTGACCCTTGGACTGTTTATAGTTCATTAGTTTTAATGAAGCTTTGATAACCTTGCCATTTGACATTTGAAAATTTGACATTTTCTCGATTGATAATATTGGTGGAGCCATTTGAAGTCGTGGTTATTTCGCTTACTCGGAGAAGTGCATAGAAAGCAAGAAGAAACATAGTCCTTAAAAGAAGGGTATTATATGCATCATCGGTAACCAGACTTAGACTCTGTATCAATTTCTGAAGAAGATTTAAGGTAAAACCTAAGCGTTGGTCAGAGACCCTTTGCTTTCTTATGCTATATAGCATTTTCTGAGAAACGTGTGAGCAGGATTAGGGAAATCATACAGGCGGTGAATATAGGACAATGCTGAAACCATGGACTTAATAGAATTTGGCTGTAAGCCTAAGTCATGGCATACTGAAATGAACTGGGCCAGCTTATGGGTTGAAATCGGGAGCATTGCCTGACTTCGTGCCAAAATTTCGTACAGGAATGTAAACAAACAAGGACTGAAACTTTTGTTGTTATGACATGATATTATATGATATATTCGCAATATTTAAAGAGAAACAATGATTGAATCTTATATACCATTTCTGTAATTTAGAACTCGAAGTAAAACTTTCCCTTCCGTAATACCAACTGCTGACTTATGAACATACACCGGTCTGTCAGCCAGAGGTTCTGGTGGTTCATAGCTAACCTCGAATTTGAAATGCATGATGTTAAACACCCTTTGATTACTCCAAACAATAAGATTGTCCATTGTCTCGTTCGTGCCGTCCAACAAGAAGTAGAACAGGAATTTATTATCGGTTTTTCTAGTGTGTTCTATGACACTTGTTGATTTACCAATGTACGGTTTGTTATTTGTGTCAACTGTAAATAAAGTAAACAATTACATTTTAATTAGCAAAGTACCTCATATGACCAAATTTTCTTCATTTCTTTCGATTTTTGTGTGTCCTCCCCTCCCAAAAAAAAAAAAAAAACAAGAGGGCCATGATGGTCCTGAGATCACTCACCTGTATACAGCCCTCGGGCAGGGCCAATTTTAACCCAGGGGCTTTTATTTGAACAAACTTGGTAGACACCCATGTGAAGATGTTTCATGATATAAATATCTAAGCACTAGCTGTAAGAAGATTTTTAAAGTTTTACTATACACATATAAGGAAAAACAATGACAACCCCCCCCCCCCCTGGGAAGGGCCAATTTGTCCCCAGGGCATTATTTGAACAAATTTGGTAGTCACTCAATAGATTAGATAGTTCATGCTTAATATCTTTACTCTAACTTACTTTTGGGTTTTTTAAAAGAAAGTTTTTTTTAAGTTTTAAATTTACTATAAACAAATAAGGAAAATCAATTATCCCCGGGGCGGAACCAATTTCAACCCCAGGACCCTTATTTGAACAAAAATGGTAGACACCCATTAGAAGATGTTTCACGCTAAATATTTTTGCTCTAGCTCTTCGGATTTTTTAAAAGAAGATTTTTTAAGTTTTTACTATTTACATAAGGGAAAAACAATGACCCCCTTGGGCGGGGCTAATTTTGACCCCAGGGCTTTTATTTGAGCAAACTAGTTTTTCCACGTTAACACGTGCCTTAACACCTAATTTTGGTGAAAAATTGTTGTTTTTTTGACATTTTTTTAAATTAATATCTAAGCTCTAGCTATTTGGGATTTTTAAAAGAAGAGTTTTTAATTTTTTTTCTATATACAAATAAGGAAAATCAATGCCCCCCCCCCCCCTCCCCCCGGACAGGGCCAATTTTGACCAGAGGGCATTTATTTGAACAAACTTGGTAGACACTGACTAGATGATGTTTCATGCCAAATATATAAGCAGACTAGCTATTTCGGTTTTCTAAAAGAAGATATTTTAAGTTTTTCTTTCGGTTGCCATGGCAACTAGTTCTGCTTTGAACAATTTTTTAAGTTGACTACCAAAGGAACATTCCGGTAAAGTTTTGATGAAATTGGCTTAGCGTTTTTTTTGGGAAGATAATGTTTAAAGTAAAAGTTTACGGACGGACAACGGACGGACGTCGGACGAAAAGCGATCACTTTGTGACAGGTGAGCTAAAAATATATATATAAAAAAAAGGAAAAGTATTTTGAAATATTTAAATATTATTTGATACTCTAATTTACGCAAAATATTCATCCATCCTTGATTTATCTCTGAATAACTGAATATATCACAGTTACAGTACGCTCAGCGCGGCTTTTGCAAAACCAGCATGACCCCGCGGACGAGGTTTACCGCGGACAAAAATTTGCTCAGATATTGTCTGCGTGACCCCGCAGACAGAAAATTTTCACCATCCCGGACATAAATCGGCGGCTGAAACCGTTTCCCCCGCGGAACGCAGTGGTAAATTGCGGAGGAACGCGGCGTTCAAACAATGGTCAACGCGGTGGAAACCTTAAATTTTCAAATTAATTACTGTATTTAAAACATCAGTATACCTACGTACTGTAACATGGACTGTTCATATAACTATATGTAAAATTTGTTTGTGTTCTGTTTTGTTGTAATAAAAGTACATGTACAAATGCAGTGTATTTCTTGTTATTCGTTGGGTAATGTATAATATGTATTTGACATCAAGATAAATCATTGTCATCGCAACTTCATGGTAGTGAGAAATTTGAAGTCAAATAATGAAAAATTTGGCATATGACATTTATGAAAAAGATACTACAACAATTTATATGCCAGCTTTTGTTTCTTATTTAAAAACTTTGAAAACGTAACCCTAAACAATTTATTCAGGCAATATTCAAGGACATCTCTTTCAATTGTCAGATGCGTTTTACTGTTTCTCTTTATTTGCATGTTGATCATAAAGTCTTATATTTTATTTGGAACATTAAAAGAAAGCGTTTATTTCACCAAAATATACATTAAATGATATTCTTGATTTATCTAATTACAGGTGTGAGCGTAATGTATATGTTTTGAAGTTTGTATCAACTGTTAAAGTTTATTTTCATTTTTGTTTTATTAGTTTGTTTGTTTGTTCTTTTTTATTTTTTTATAGATTTTTTTTTGCAGAATTTTGTTAAACTTGAAGTTATACTTTTGTTATTTTATTATGAACAGTATGCATGTACATACATGTATATAAGGCAAACAAGCACATGACAATTATTTTCTAAGAACTTCCATCGACCGATTTTCAAGTTAAAAATATTTCATTTTATTTTTATCTTAAGATATTATTGTTCATAGGAATAATAGTATTTGTTGACAACATGTAGTTTTAAGTACATACAATTGAATATCAAAAACAACAACAAAAACAGGTGCAGCTGTAATTATTTTTATTTCAAATTCCGTTCAAATAATTTAATGTATAATAACATTTTAAAGGAGACGATTGTGGTCAATTTTCAAGTCATTGTGTAAAAAAGATGACGTTAAAAAATAATAAAACATCAATTATTTTTGGAGGTTAATTTATACTGAACAACTGACCATGGCGTTCCCCCGCGGGAAACGGGTGACTGATTTTATCGATGAATGAAGAATGGTCATCAGAATTTTGTCCGCGTCGGAAACAACTGAACACCGGGGATCGCGGGGAATTAGGCTTCTCATCGCGGACGAACCCCCGTGTTTGTCCGTGATAAAAAAAAATCGTCCACGGTGGTATCGCGGAAAAAGCAAAACCCGGGGTGAGCCTACTGTACCAGGCTACGCAGTCACAATACATTTTACTTCGTATTGCAGACCAGTCCCTTAAGAATGATAATGTGATATTAATTTAATATAAAATATAACTCATTAGATTTCTAGCCAAATGAATAAGATTAAATTGTATTACTGTTGTTTTTTTTTTGTTGTTGTTTTTTTTTGTTGCAATATTATAACTGTTAGTAAAACGTTCATACTTTTTCTCAGTCCTTCCAATTGGCTTATAATGCAAGGTCTATGAACCTTTGATAAGCTATTTTTTATTGTTCTAAAAAGAATCTATATTAATTGATATAAAATCATAATATTATGCAAATAGGTGTAGTTAATTTTTTTTTCAATTCTTGCAGAGTATAGATAAAAACAAACAACATCTTTGATATAAAACGTACTTTTTAAACAGCCGTATTCCGATGTCGAATTTTCCTTTGTGAATCCACGGTTACAGTTACATAAGTTATTAGAATAACAGTTTCCTGGATAACATGGTCTAGCATAAGAACATACCACTGAAACACAAAAGGAAATATTTATATTTTGTAAAGTTCAGTTAAAAAGAGAAATGCTCCTGCTATTACACGGTAAATTAAATAACAGGTCTATCTACATGGTAAAACGTCTTTAGTGACTGATATTCCAAAATGAAATTAAATATCAAAATTAGCTAGACCGTCTTCAGTCCGTCGTCCATTTCTGAAGCCCGCATCGAAGATGGCGAAACTGAATGTGTTAAATAAAGTCGTTGCTTACTTACTTACTATTATGTACATGTAACCTGGCTTGACACGCTGGATGTCTAGATAATTGATTCATTACCAGACCTAACTTATCAACATTACAAATTTAATATCATCTTCGTGATATAATTGATAAGAACTACTTACACGTCTGACAATATTGACCTACTGCCTGGCCTTTGCAGTTACATTTACTAGGGGATACACACTCTCCCACCAATCCACAGTTTGGCTTACATATTGCTGAAAAATGTCAAAAGAAAATAATTGTTAAATGTTCTAAGAGTAAAGAAGTATAACTGATCCCCTCCCCCTCTTAGATTGCCAATAATATTTTGCTTTTGGACAACTTTAAGACAGTACGTGTTTAGTGTAAAATATGCCTATCCACAACACATCGTGTAAAATAATATTATGCCCATCCACATCACATTTCAAACGTGTCTGAATGACGTAAGTGTATGCCTCTAGAAATGCCCCCTCCCACCTCCATATGTGGAGGCCTAATCATTAATAGCCTTGTTTTTTATTTGTGCTTGAGCATTTATGTAAGAACTAGAAATGTGACCAGAGGACACGGGTGCCCCCACACGCCGCTGTTCTGACAATCTTATGACTCAAGGTCAATTATTTTTTGGACTACATGTGACACAAATTGAAAACTAAAAATCTTTTACTAAATAAAGGGCAAGAAGTTTACAAATAATGAATAAATTCACAAGCAAAACCAAAGGTGCATAAGTACACAGTCATGCTGACCAGAATTCCTGTAAACTTTCAGGCCTACAAGTCAAATACTTTTTGAGCTATGCATGAACAAGTTGAAAATTGCAAATTTATACTACTGTAAGTCAAGAGAAATAACTCTAACAAAACTGAAAAAAAAATCCACATCTAAAGTCCCAGGTGCATAGCTTCACAGTGATGCTGATCATTATTCCTGTAATTTAGTGATGTTGATCATTATTCCTGTAAAGTTGGTTGATCTCAAGGAACAAATAACACAACATAATTAAACGGTTTTTATTAAGTCAAAGGCAATGACTCTACAAATACTGGATAAATCCACAAGCGAAACCCGAGGTGCACAACTACATAATTATGCTGAGCAACATTCCCGTAAGGACACATTGGTTAAATTGCAAAAAAAAAGTCAAGGGCAAAAACTCTAAAAATACTAAATAAATCCAGACGAAAATACCCAGGTGCAAAACTACACATACTGATCAACATTCCTGTTAAGTTTCACGACTATAGGTCAAATCCTTTTTGAGTTACATGCAACACAAGTTGAAAATTGCAAAATTTTACTAAGTCAAGGACAATTACTCTAAAAATACTAAATAAATCCACATGCAAATACCCAGCTGCACAACTACAATTGCTGATCAACATTCCTGTTAAGTTTCATGACTCTAAGTCAAATCCTTTTTGAGTTACATGCGTCACAAGTTGAAAATTGCAAATTTTTACTAAGTCAAGGGCAATAACTCTAAAAATACTAAAAAAATCCACACGAAAATACCCAGGTCCACAACTACATATGCTAATTAACATTCTTGTAAAGTTTCATGACTCTATGTCAAATTCTTTTTTGAGTTACATGCGACGCAACTTGAAACTTGCAAATTTTTACTAAGTCAGGGGCAACAAATAAATCCACACGAAAATACGCAGGTGCACAACTGCACATGCTGATCAACATTCCTATTAAGTTTCATGACTCTAGGTCAAATACTTTTTGAGTTAAGTGCGACACAAAAGAGAACAAACGGACGGACTAGGGTAAATCTAAATCCCCCCCCCCCAAAGTAGGGGCATAAAAATGTACCTGTACCATATCTTATATGTCACAGACATGTTCAGTTACCCCTCTAATAAGTATCAGTAAAAAAATGATACTCACGGATATTACAGTTGTAATCTCCTCCGTGTGTCCATCCGCTTAAACACCTGTGTTTAGTCACTTGAGAATTGCAAGTGAAAGATCTCCATGCGCCACAATAACTGAAGAAAAACAAGAGCTATCAAACATGAGATGAATGCCCCCAAAAAGGAGTAAACTTGATCTTGAAGGTAGGAACATGGGTCTTATACACATGTCATCTTGATGTGGTAGACATTTGTGACAAGTTATTTTAAAACTCTTCAATGCATGACAAAGTTACAGTCCGGACACGAATGTGTATCTTCAAACTCTTCTTGAGAAAATGAGTACCTTCTAACTGTAAGACAAGGTCGGTTACTCTTGGTATGTATTCAGTACATACTATAAATAAACAGTGGGTAACGGACGATGACTGTAAGAGTGACCTTGGAGGTAGGGACATAGGTCTTAAACACGACATGCATGTGGTAGACATAATTATTACTACGTTATTAAAAAATCCTTCCATGCATAAAATAGTTACAGTCCAGACACAAATGTATGTACCTTTAAACTCTAATTGTGAGGATGAGAAACTTTCAAACTGTAAGTGTGACCTTGGCCTTTGACTTACTGACATGGGTCTTAAATGAAACACATCACATGATGATGTGTTTGACTTTTGTGCCAAGTAATTTTAAAATCTTTTTTATGCATGACAAAGTTTTAGTTTGGACACAAATGTATACTGTCAACCTCTGTGATCTTGACCTTTTAGGTAGTGATATAGGCCTTAGCAGCAAAACATTATCTGGATGTGGTAAACACTTGTGCCAACTTATTTAAAACTTCAATGAACAACAAAGTTACAGTCCAGACAGGAATGTGTACATCCTTCAAATAAATTATAAGTCTGACCTTGACCTTGGAGGTAGGGACATAGGTATTAGACTAGACACATCATCTTGATGTTGTGGTCATTTATGCCAAGTTATTTAAAAAACCTTCCATGCATAAAAAAGTAACAGTCCAGACACGAATGCGGTACCTATAATATATAATTGTGATAGCATGAACCTTCAAAATGTTATTGTGACCTTGACCTTTGATGTAGGGACGTGATTATTGGTTGTGACACAATGTAATGATGTGGTAAACATGTGTGCCAAGTTATTTCAAGATCCGCCAATGCATGACAAAAGTAACAGTCTGGACAAGATTTTTGTGTAAGTGGGGATGCACGGATGGACATTAACTTCAGCTGTGACACATAGCCTTGATGTGGTTGACATTTGTGCCAAGTTATTTCAAAATCCTTCCATGCATGACAAAATAACAGTTCGTACACGAATGTGTGTATCTTTAAATTCTAATTGTGATAAAGTGAAACTGTAAGTGTGACCTTGAACTTTGAGGTAGGGGTGTGATTCTTGGATGTGACACATGGTCTTAATGTGGAAGACATTTATGCAAAGTGATTCTAAAATTCTTCGATGCATGAAAAAGTTTACAGTTCTGACACATAGCCTTGATGTGGTTGACATTTGTGCCAAATTATCTTTAAATCCTTTGCTGCATGACAAAGTAACAGTACGGACACAAATGTGTGTACCTATAAATTCTCATTGTGAGAAAGTAAAACTGTTAGTGTGCCCTTGGCCTTCGAGGCAGGGATGTGATTTTTGGACGCCACACATCATCTTAATGTGGTCGACATTTATGCAAAGTTATTCTAAAATCCTTTGATAAATGAATTAGTTACAGTCTGGGCACCATTGTGTGTACCTATTGGTAAGGTGAAACTTCAAAAATAAATGTTTGTGTGACCTTGACCTTTGAGGTAGGGACGTGATTCTTAAACGCAACACATCGTCCTGATGTGGTAGACATTTATGCCAAGTGACTCTAAAATCCTTTGATGCATGACAAAGGTACAGCCCGGACATGAATATGTGTACCTATTAACTCTAATTGTGAAAATGAGAAAGTTTAAAATGTTAGTGTTGTAATATGAGACTGTTTATATAAATCTATACATGCGCATGCTTAGAAAGTAGTCCAACAGTTCTTGTTAAGAGATTATCTTCAGTATTAAACTTGTAGTCATATAACACACTTGTGTATCTTATTTCTCATTTGAGTTATACGTTTGTCTACTTGTGATATACTCACATACAAAACCACATAACATTACATGGTGTCAGAAATGTTGCTGAATTTTTTCTTAAACATTGGATTATTTATAATTATATAGTTAAAAGTGATTTAAACTTATAAACAACAACAACAATGGATCTTAGTGGCATTCCACCACCAGTAATGAACTGGCAAAGCTCAAATTTAATTGAACAGTGGCAAAAATTTAAATTAAACGTTGAACTTATATTTTCTGGACCACTTAAATCTATATCAGAGGAAGAAAAAGTTTCATACTTATTGCTATGGATTGGTGACGAAGGCAGAGAAGTGTACCGAACATGGGAGTTCTTAGTGCAGAAGACGCCAAGAAGCTTAACACATATTATGTAAAGTATAAAGATCACGTGCAACCAAAACTTAATCCAATATTTGCAAGATATCAGTTTATGAACGAGATTCAAGGAAGTGACTCAATTGACGCTTTCGTGACGAGGCTAAGAAACAAAGCCACAGATTGCCAATTCACGGACAAAAATGAAAACATCCGAGACAGAATTGTATTTGGATGTAATAGTTCCAAAGTACGTGAAAAACTAATAAATGAAGGCGAAAAATTAACATTAGACAAATGGCACAAAATTACAAATATTGCCAGAAACAGATGGCAACCATGGGGGCAGTCGAGCAACAATCAATTGACGCTGTTAAGACGCAAAGGCATTATAGAAGAAAACAATCAGCAAATGAACCCACTAAGACCGGAAGGATGCAAGGACATGGATCACAAAATGTTTGTGGACATTGTGGCACGCGACATGACCAGAGAACAAACTGTCCGGCAAAAGGGGCTACATGCTATAAGTGTAACAAACTGAATCACTTTTCAAAGCAGTGCAAATCACAGAAAAACGCTACAAGTGTCAATCAAATAGGGGACCAATAGTGACATTGAAAGAAAACTTGTGGCAATGCAGTTGATGGATACTCAATAAATACGGTGAGTACTAGCTTACATTCTCCAGACTGTGTTAAAACCGAAATTTGTCTTGCCCAAAACAAATGCCCAATATCATTTAAAATTGACACTGGCAGTGCTGCAAACATTTCTGCCCAAGCAACAATTTCAAAAACTGAATTTGAGTACCCCACTTGAGGCCCCTGATTGCAAATTAACCTCATATACAGGTGAAGTACTTTCAATCCTGGGAACAGTCATGTTGACTTGTTATTTAGGAAAAAATCAGTCAATGATTGCAAAGTTTTATGTGGTAGATAGAAATGCATCCCCTCTCTTAGGCTTGCAAACTTCAATTAAACCTTGGCCTGATTAAGCTCACATTTTCTGTGGAACACTCCCTCCCTGACAAGAATAAAACATTTCTGACCAGAGAAATAGTCATGAAAGAATAAAGTGACCTATTTTGGCTGGTATTGAACTATTGATGGTGCAGTACAGTTTGCATTTAAAGGAAAATGCAATACCGACTATTAACCCACCACGTAGAATACCCGACGCCTTAAGAGGCATGTGTAAAATCAGAGCTTGACAGAATGATTAAAGACAAGATTATCACAAAAGTCAATGAGCCTACTGATTGCGGTTAATTCCCTTGTCGTTGTAGAAAAACCCAAAACTGGGCATAACGAATATGCCTTGATCCTAAAGCATTAAATGATCAGGCAATTTCGTAGACCGCATTTTCACATGCCTACTTTTTAGAAGATATATTACATCAAAACTAAACGGCGCATTCAATTCTTCAGTATTCTTGATATAAACGCATGCATATTGGAGCTTACAGCTTGACAAACGTTCGTCAATGCCTGTAACTACGTTTAACACGCCGTTCAGAAGGTATAGATCGCTTAGACTTCCGTTTTGGTATGTCGGCTTCCGGTGACTTATTTATGCAGAAAATAAGCGAATTCTCGAAGGACTATCGGGTTGTAACTGCAATAGTCGACGAATATTCTTGTAATACGGTCTCGCACACAGGAAGAACACGATAAAAATCTAAAGCACGTGCTTGATGCGCGCACGAGAAAAGGGTGTCAAATTAAACCCAGATAAAATGCAAAATTGGTGTACAAGAAGTACCATTTTCCGGTCATGTAATAAGCAAGGATGGTCTTAAACCAGACCAGTCCTAAGGTCAAAGCTATAAGCGAAATAGGTCTTCCAAATACGAGGCCAAAAGTTAGAAACATTTTTAGGTATGGTAAACTACCTTGCAAAATTTGCGCCAAATCTCACGGATGCGACAGCTCCCCTCAGGAGCCTCTTGAGAAAAGATGTCGAATTCTGCTGGGAAGAGAGCAACATGATAGAGCCTTTCAAAAGGTTAAACACATGTTATCTGAAGCACCTGTTAGGTTAGGTTAATGACCCGAAAGCACCACTCACATTAGAGTCTGACAGCTCGAAGGACGCAATAGGCACGTGTTCTCATGCAAAATGGCAGACCGATTGCATATTGCGTCGAAAAGTTTAACCGAAACTGAAAAGGGTAATGGCTCAAATAGAGAAAGAGTTATTAGCCATATTTTATGGTTGTTACTCGTTTTCATCAATACACATACGGGAGACATGTGACTGTACACTCAGATCACAAACCAATCGCTGTTATAATCAAAGAACCATTGTCAGCCGCACCACCTAGACTGCAGAGAATGTTATATTACAATTGCAAAAGTACGACATTAACGTTATATATGTTCCAGGCAAACACATCCCGGTCTGTGATTGCTTATCTCCACAATGTATATCAGATTCTGAGTCAGAAGTAGTTCAAGGACTTGACACACATGTGCACACTGTATGTAAACAACTCCACTTCACTGATCAAAGATTGCAAAATATCTCAGAAATAACAAGCAGTGATAAACAAATGGTCATTTTAAAACAAACAATCATTGAAAGGTTTCCCAGGTGAAAGATCAATGTGCCCATCAGATATACTTGAGTTCTGGAACCATAGGGAATGAACTAAGTTATGAAAAT